GGGGGGGGGGAAGGGAGAAGACTCATTGGGAACAGTATAAAGCCATATGCAAATTATATTTAAATTTGTGCAGTGTATTGAAGAAATTAGCTGGCTGCATAGCTTAGTGGTTGAGGTCTCTGCCTGTGGAGCCAGAGGTTGAGAGTTCGATTCCCTCACTGTGCCTCCTGCTAAGGAAAGCCAGCCTGTGTAGCCTTGGGCAAGTGGCACATTTCCAGAAGAAGGACACGGGAAGCCACTTCTGAGGACTCGGCATAGCTTTGAGATAAGAAGACGGGAGAGATAGGATAGTATTTAGCTTTGAGATAGGAAGACGGGGGAGATAGGATAGCGTTTTTCAAGTCACACAGAGGAGGGGGCAGGATCTCTTCTCAAACATCCCAGATTGTAGGACACGTAACAATGGACTCAGGTTACAGGAAGCCAGGTTTCGGTTGAATATCAGGAAAAACTTCCTAACTGTTAGAGCAGTACGACAATGGAACCCATGATCTCGAGAGGTGGTGATTCCTCCAACACTGGAGGCATTCAAGAACAATCTAGACAACCACCTGGCGGATATGCTTGGCTTTGGATTCCTGTCCTGAGCAGGGGGGTTGGACTCGATGGCCTTATGGGTCCCTTCCAACATCATGAGTCTATGATTCTATTCTCTACCTAGAAAACCCTGACAAGGACCACCTTAATTCAGAATTTACAACACATGATGGTTATTATTATTAGAGACCTGCAGGTTGTCCACTCCAGTTCTACACGCCTCGTGGCTCAGTGGTTAAACTTCAGTCCTGCAGCCAAAACTGTGCTCATGACCCGGCGTTCAATCCCGAGTAGCCAGCTCAAGGTTCACTCAGCCTTCTATCCTTCCAAGGTCGATAAAATGAGTACCCAGCTCCGGGGCGGGCGAGGGCAATGTATTGCCTGCATAATTCTTGTAAACCACCCAGACAGTGTTGTAGGCGCTATGGGGCGGTATATAAGCAGCACGCTTTGCTTTTACTTTTTACCCTGATTTTAAAAAAGAAAACTCAAAAAACATTCATGCTTCCGATGCTAGACATCACCCCTACCCGAGTTATTTAGGAAGGGACTGTAATGTCCTGAGGGGGGGAAAAGGCTGAAATTGTCTAATGCAGATCAAAACCATCCTAATGACTACAGTATTATATCTAATGATATAACTTCAGCTGATTATGAGATATGTATGTCTTTATTAACTACAGCATATTTTCATTTTTTAAACATCCATGTATTGCTATATGTTCTATCTGGCGTGGATTTTCCAGTGCCTAATGAGATTTGGGCTCTGAGTGAAGCTTTTCCCACATTCTGAGCATTTATATGGTTTCTCTCCAGTGTGAAGTCTCTGATGTCTGATAAGATGTGAGCTCTGATTAAAACTTTTCTCACATTCGCAACACTTGTACGGTTTCTCTCCTGTGTGAATCCGCTGGTGGGTGAAAAGGTTTGTTCTCTGATTGAAGCTCTTCCCGCAGACGAAGCATTTGTACAGTTTCTCTCCCGTGTGGATCCTCTGATGCCTGATCAGACTGGATTTATCACAAAAGCTCTCACTGCAATCTGTGCATTTGTATGGTTTCTCTCCTCTGTGGTACCTTTCATGGATCAGGAGACTCCCGTTCCGAGTGAAGCTTTTCTCACAGACTAAGCATTTATAATTTTTTTCTCCTGAGTGGATACCTGCCTGTGCCATAAGCTTTGAGGGATCACAAAAACCATCATTGCAAAAATTATATGAGGCCTCTTCCGGCGTCTCTTGCTTTTTTTGATGAATTAAAAAATGTGAGCTTTCCTCGAAGCTTTCCCCACATTTATACATGCCTTCTCTGGAACAGATTTCCTGATGTCCGGGAAGACTTGAGTCATCACAGATGTTTTTCCTCATGGTTGACAAAGTGCAAAAATCTGCGCCGGCGTAAACGGTCTCCTGTGAATTCTGGTCGGATGGAATGGAAAAACCTTTGCTCCTTTTTGAGTGGCTACGGGGCTTCTGTCTGGTGTGAATCTTCTGGTGCACGGTCAGGTTTGAGCTACGGCTGAAGCTTTTCCCACAGTTCAGGCACTTAAAGGGCTTCTCTCCTGTGTGAATCCTCTGGTGGGCCTTCAGGTTCGACCTCTCGCAAAAGCTCCGGCCGCAGCTCGAGCAGGGGTACAGCTTCTCCCCGGTGTGCAGCCGCTGGTGCGAAGTGAGACGAGTCCTTCGGTTGAAGCTCTTCCCGCATTCTGCGCATTTATAGGGCTTCTCCCCGGTGTGGATTCTCTGATGGGTCACCAGGCTTGATTTGTGACTGAAGGTTCGCCCGCACAACGAGCACTCGTTCCTCCTCCTCCCTTTTCCTTTCGCCTTCTGGAACGGGATTTTGTGACATTCAGGGTCCCGAGAAGAAAGGAACTCATCCATCCATTTCATTCTTTCTTTTCCATCCTGCGTCCTCAGCCCACGGTCCTTGGCGAAACTTTCTTCCCTGTCCTGCTTCTGAGTTCCTTCTTCTACTTCATCCCCGTGGTGCTCCTTCTCCCTCTCCTGTCCTGTAATGGAGAGAGAGGTTTGAAAAACAGCGGGTAGCTTTCTGTTTCTCCACCATAAGGAGGGTCAGTAATGGAAGGTCTGGCAGAACTGGAGCAACAACAAAAAGTCACACCCACACCCCTTACCCTCTTCCCAGGAAGCAACACCGGCCCATCTCACGGCTTCCTGGGTGAACTGGTCTCTCATTTCCTCTTCTTCTAACCAAGAGATGAGCCCAGGTTTGGGAAGGAGAAGAGTTCCTAGGCAAGTTAAGAAAAACAGCCAGTTAGTTCTGGGGTTGCTAGCTGGACCGCTCAGGGGTTGAGGTCCCCATCTGCAGAGCCAGAGGTTGGAAGTTCGATTCCCCCCCCGACAGGGCCTCTTGAGGGGAAAAAAGCCAGCCTGGGTAGCTTTGGGCCAGCTGCACAGCCCCAGGAATATCCCCCCAAAAGAAGGGAAAACGCTGAAAAAGATTGCCATAAGTTAGACTGGACTTGGTGGCATGTGATTATTATCAGTTCTGGGTTACAACATACCTCCGTCACCTGGCTCGCCCCTCGAGTACTAGGTGACCCGCAGTTCAGTAGCAGAACATCTTTTGGGGTATAAGAAAACCCCAGGTTGAAACCCCAGCATGTCTAGCTATTGTATTCCCAATTACTCAGGTTGAGTGTGAAAGCTGGACAGTGAAGGAAGCTGACAGGGAAAAACCTGATTTGTTTAAAATGTAGCACCGGAGGAGAGTTTTACTGGCATCTCAGTTCAGCATGGCTTGGCTCCATTGTGGCTTAGCTGACTCTGCTGGCTGGCATCTTACTTATGTTACACCAGCCCTTTTAGAGGCAAATAAAAATATAATAATAATCTTAGAACTGCTGAGCTGGAAGGGACCCTATGGATCGTCGAGTCCAGCTCCCATCAGAGAGGATCAGTGGGGAATCGAACTCTCGACCTCTGCCTAAACCACTGAGCTAACCCATTTTCGGTTCAGAAACAGGAAGATGTAGCCCTCCAGAGGTCGTTGAATCACAACTCTGGTCAGTCTTTGCCACTGGCTACTAATGATGGGATATGCACGCTAACCACATCCACCTACTGCCAGATGCCTAAACCACTGAGCTATCCAGCAGTTGCATGTATGTCACAACAATAACGCCTAGCCATAAGTGCCTCCATGGAGAAGGCATATGTATAAGTGTTAGAGTTCTGGAAGTTTGTAGTCCAAAAATTTTAACTTTTCTAAGTGTTGGGCAAGACTTCCTCTGCCTCTGACCTTGGGCAGCAGCTGCCAGGCAGAGCCGGGCAAAGGTTCAGAGCCTCCCAGGAAGGGCAGGATCTGTTCTCAATCATCCCAGAGTGCAGGACACCCAACAATGGGCTCAAGTGACAGGGAGGGACATTTCGACTGATTATCAGGAAAATCTCCCTAACTGTTAGAGCGGTACGACAAAGGAACCAACGACCTCGAGAGCAACTCAAGCAGATCCGTTGAATCCATGGTGTCAATAAGTGTTGACTTATTGTTGAACAATAAGGAATGAGTTCTCAATCATCCCAGAGTGCAGGACCTGTAACAATGGGGTCAAGTGACAGGGAGCCAGATTTCAGTTGAATATCAGGAAAAACTTCCTAACTGTTAGAGCGGTACGACAATAGAACCCATGATCTTCGGAGGTGGTGGGCGCTCCAGCGCTGTAGGCGCTCAAGACTATAAAATAAAACATCCCCTAAAAATAAGCCCTAATGCGTTTTTGGAGCCAAAATTAATATAAGACCCTGTCTTATTTTTGTGGAAACACGGTAGACAACCACCTGGCAGCTATCCTTTGATCTGTATCCATGCTTTGAGCAGGAGGTTGGACTTGATGGCCTCTAAAGGCCCCTTCCAACTTCACTATTCTACGATTCTACGATGCCAAGTCTCCCACCGAACAAAGGAAGAAACAAGCCTTTGTCTACCACCTTTGTCTGGTGGGGGGGGCAGTTTAAGCCACCATCATGCCAATTCCCAAGCTGAACCATCCCATCGCGGTCTCTGCCTGCGGCCAAAAGGAACCCTAGCTTTCCTCCCACATTCCTTCAGCTCCATAGCTGCCGGACGCCTTTTTTGAATCAAGAGCTGGATTGGAAGCTTTTTGGCCACCTCTCCCACAGGCCCCATCGGGAGCCCTCCCGTCCAGGTCTGAGCGAAGATCCCGCCCAGGGTCCCTGGAGCTGAACAGAGCTGTATGTTCAACAAGAGCCCTGCCTCTTTACTCTGTGTCTCTTTCCCTCTCTTCGGTCTGTTGGAAGCAGTGAGTCTTTTGCAATCTTTTGCCGAAAGCAGTCGTATGTTATCAGTTTGCTGTTTGATCTGCTAAATTGTACGTCATGAAAACCTTTTATCCTTTCTCCAACTAATGTCTCCAAGTGGGTTATTGAGACTGTAAGTGCCAGTTAATGAGAAAAATTGGAGTGGAGTAATCTGGGGCACTTGAAGCTCTTTTGCTCTGCGAACCCTTATACTTCTGCTGCTCAACTAAGAGGAATCAAACCAAAAATTCAAAACTTTGTCAGTCCACGTGTACTGTGTCACTCAGAAAGTACAGTGGTGCCTCGCTTAACAAGCGCCTCAGTTAACAATGAATCCGCATAGCGACATGTTTTTTGCGATTGCAAAAGCAATCGCATTGTGATGTTCCTAATGGCCGAAAATGACTTTGCGATGATCGGTAAGCATTTCGCTTACCGATTTTCGCACAGCGATGGTTTTTTTAACAGCTGATCGGCGGTTCCAAAATGGCCACCGGGTAAAGAAAATGGCCGCCCGCACTGTTTTCGCGCCTTTTCCTCGCTTACCGGGCAGCGAAAATGGTGGCCGTATGGAGGATTTTCACAGAACGGTGAGTTTTTTGCCCCTAGGAACGCATTAAACGTGTTTTAATGCATTCCTATGGGCTTTTTTGCCCTGCATAGCGACAAATAGACATAGCGATAATTTTTTCGGAATGGATTATCGTTGCTATGCGGGGCACCACTGTATTTGTATGTTTGTTCCTGCCTAGCTTCTGTCTGCTTCGGAGGTGGAGCTGACAGGAGAGTATGAATGAGGGGAAAAGATCTGGAGAAATAGAGCCTTGGGTGGCGTGTAGGGCCAGGCCCTTTGCTTCCTGTCTTCCCCGTCCTCATCTATGGGATAAAGAAAGACCTACTCAGAGAAATGGCCATCTCATAGTTGCCAAGCATGACCTCCCGATATAAAACTCTCTGGCCTCGATCCAGGAGGGCCCATTCTTCCTCTGTGAACCGCACGGCCACCTCTTCAAATATCACCAAGCTCTGAAAGGGAGAATGAGGAGCCGTGAAAAGACACACACACACAATTTTTCTTAGGCAATTTTCTTAGAGCCAAGGTGGGCAAGGTCTAGCGCTCGGTGTGGGGTAGGGGAGCCCCCTCAGGGCTCCTCCGAGGGCCACCTCCACTTCCAAGAATGGGTTGAACCCACTGGTGTCCCCCTTTCCCCAAATATGTTAAAATACAAAATGGCCGACTATGCCTTCTAGGCAATGGGATTAGCAACCCAATCCCCTCCCCCTCCCAGATTTATAAGACCGCCTGGGTGTCAAGATTATCAGGGGAGGCCTTTCTCTCGGTCTCACCACCTTCACAGATGTGTTTGGTGAGGATCCGAGAGTGGGGCCTTCTCGGTGGCTGCTCCCAGAGACTCTGGAACTCCCTCCCACTGGAGGCCAGCCTGGCCCCCTCTTTGCTGTCCTTCCGCAAGCAAGCCAAGACCTTGCTCTTCAGCTCTAAGCTTTCCCTGAGTGACGGGCTGCCTGCAATGGGGATTCTTAGAAAAGGGACTGCTGTGTTTTTGTTGTTTTCAAGAACTGGTTTTAATCTAGTTTTGATATTTGTTTAATTATTTTTTAAAGGCTGTAATGATTTATTCTTCTCCGCTGTATCTGGCCCACTTTCCAATAAGAATCTTTTTCCCACCTCGGCTGGTGACGTGACGCCCATTTCCAACCTGGAAGAAAGAAGAGAGGATTCCAAATATCGCTCAGATTCCGTTTTGCTGCCTGAAAAGAAAAGAAAAACAGGAGTGAGACCTCAGGTCAAAAAAAGAGGAGTTTATTTCTTAATTAGCCTCTGTGGCTTATAGATGCTTTTCCCACTTAAAACAAGAGGGCTTGCCAAATTCCTAAAGAGCCTTTCACACTTTCCTTTTTAGGCCAAAGGCAATGAACCTCTTTCTCCCCAAGGGGTGAATCCACTCTCATAGAGGTTTCTGGGGGCCGCATTCTGACACTGAGTAGAGCCATCATTGGGAGCAGGCCAAAAACATGTTAGTTTGCTCCCAGCCAGTGGAACTCCCTGCTGGATCTATTGCAACCTGTCTTTTGAACTGGTTTTGGCTGGGAGGGAGTGGCAGTAGATATCACTCAATCAGCCAGTTGTTTCCTCAGATTCTTTTTTCCTTCCTTTTTTCCAGTCAGGATTCTGTCAGTTAAGAATTAAACAGAAAGGGTAAAAAGCGTTCTGTCAGCTGTAAAACCAGTCAGTGAGTCAGTAGTGAAGCTAATTAACCAGTTAAAGGCAATGATGTAACCAGTTAATATTTCTTCCCACAATATTTTTGTTTCTATAAGACTTGTGAGTAAACGGAAACATTTTATTCCTTCTCATTCCCAGAGTCTCTGAGTAAATGTTTTGAGACAGTAAGTGCCAGTTGAGGTAAAATAACAAATAAGGGGTCATGTACTGGGGATGGCTTGTAGCTGAATCTGCTCTCTGTAGGTTCCCATCGGAACCTACAGAGTTTTTAATCTGCTTCATTATTAGAGGAAAGTTTTTACGTATTTGCTTATAAGCCACACTCTGTGTATTCAAGATGAATAATTCCTTCTCTGCCTCTGATTTCAAAGAAAGCCTCTTTTCCCCACTCTCTGTAAGTCTGTTGAAAGCAAGGAGTCATTTGAGGCCTGCTGTTTGCTCAAAGCAATCATGTTTGTTAGTTTTGCTGTTAGATCGGTTCAACTAGAAGTAAAAAAACAAGTTTCATTCTTTCCGCTATTAATGTCTCAGAGTGAGCTTTTGAGACTGAAAGTCCCAGTTACTGGGGGGGAAGGGGTGAACTAAATGGGGAACTTGAAGCTATTCTGTTCTGTGAATTCCCGTACTTTTACTGTGCCGCTAGAGGAAGTTTAACCAGAAATTTAAAACTTGGCAACAAAATGTGTTGGGGGGGAGACACACACTGAAAAACCATGAAGTGCCCAGAAGTCCACTTTCCACTTGAAACGTAGGCATTTTTCTGTATTAAGCCCCATTACCAGGGGGCTTTGAAACCTATTTAAAACTAGCATGGCTGCTCCTGGCGTCTCCCAGAGGAGGAAAATGACCCCCTTTCCCCCCCACCCTTCAAAAATATAATTGAAGGGGTCAGAGAGAAGGGAAACTCTGATGGAGCTAGCTAGGGGGTCACCTCAAAACGCCTTGAAGAACAGCATGCAACGTGAGGGCTGGACTTTCGCCAACTGCTGAGTTACTTGTTCGAGGATATTGGGTAAATCCTTACCCACTGAAATGCCGCCTCTGTCTGCTTCTTCAGGACCTCCCTGAGTTGGGCGATATTTCCCGTTGTCTGAAGGAGCCTTCCGAGTCTCAAGGGAACCACCTGTTGGTCCTGGCAACTGAAATGGGGAGGGGGGGACATGCACATTAAAATCCACATCCAACATGCGGAATGCAGTGGTTGCAAATTCCTGAAATGAGCAGAGGGTTGGTCTAGATGACCTTTGATGCCCTCTTCCCCGCACAAATGTCTATTACATGTTCACCCATTTCTCCAGCTTCCTTTGATAAGGGAAAGGCTGCCAACCCATTTAACCTTTCGGAGCAGTTTTTAAAAAGTCAGTGTGTTCTCCTGTATACAACAACCGCAACAAAACAAGCATGACGTTTTGTAGCAGCTTAAAGACAAATGGGTTTATTTCCACCTGAGCTATTGGGGAATTACGACCCACTTCTTTACATAGGGAGAAGTGGCTTGCAATCCACAAAAATTAATCTACAAAGTCATTTTTGCCGTTGTTGCTTTGTATTTGGGTTAGCCTTTTTTTTCTTCACGTTTCTTTCTCAGTGGTATCCTTTGGGAAGGGCCTGGGCCTAATGTTGGAGCGAGGCAACCTGCCTCAGGTGGTGGATTTTGAGTGTCACACAAGGGCAAGAAATGATTAGTGATTATTAGTGATTTAATTAGTGATTTTGGTTCACGTCAGTGATTACATCTTGCAATCGCTGTCGAAAAGGACAAACCAACCCATTTCATTGCACTCTGAGATTTTAAAGGAATGGTTTCACTACGGTTTCAAAGGAATTTTAAAACCAGATTTTTAAAAAGATTTTAAAGGAATGGTTTTTCCAGCCCCTCGCATATTTCCATGGCTGAACAGGGATTCGAAACCAGGTCCCACCAGGCGCCAAACACGACCGACCCTTTTGGAACGACCAAGATTTTGGGAGCTCACCAGCCTTTCCTGCTCCCTGACTCTTCCCTGTTTCATCAGAAAATCTTCAGCCCAGGCTACAGCCTGGATGCAGCTCCCTGAGCAGTTCTCCATCTCCGGGGGGTGGGGGTGGGGCAGAAGGGTTAGAAACTGTTCCAGGATCACCAGCTCACCAGGATCACCATCCTTCGTGTGCTTCTCCGGCTTCACAGCAACCATCCTGGAGTTGGCTGTAAACCTTGTGGGGCCCTTCAGCCTCTGTCTAGCAGAATCGCCTGAAGTGCTAGCATTCGGGGGTATGAATCTATAATGTCCTTGTTCATAATCTTTGGTATAGTTCTCCCCTTGAATGCCCTGCAGGCTGGAATACTTTCTCCCAATGTTTCTACTGCTTCGCAGCCAGCTAGATTTCAATCTTCTGTTTTCTTTCCTACGACTTTCTCCGAAGTGAAATCTGGGCCCAAAATACCATGTTTTCCTCTCTTTGCAATGTTCTCTCAGGCTAAGAACAGCGTGCTACATATACAGTAGGACCCCTGTATCTATCTGCAGGGGACCAGTTCCAAGCCCACTTTCCCGTGGATACTGAAAAAATGTGGATGATAGTGACCACTTAAATGGTATACAAAGCATGGTCTCTGGATCCCGACTTTGCGCAAAATGTTCCTCTAATATCTCCAATTTTCCTGAAGAGCTCTCTGGTCTTTCCTTTTCTGTTATCTTCCTCTATTTCTTTGCATTGTTCATTTAAGAAGGCCCTCTTGTCTCTCCTTGCTATTCTTTGGAAGTCTGCATTCAATTTTCTGTAACTTTCCCTATCTCCCTTGCATTTTGCTTCCCTTCTCCTCTCTGCTATTTCTAAGGCCTCGTTGGACAGCCACTTTGCTTTCTTGCATTTCCTTTTCTTTGGGATGGTTTTCGTTGCTGCCTCTTGGACAATGTTACGAGCCTCTATCCAAAGTTCTTCAGGCACTCTGTCCACCAAATCTAGTTCCTTAAATCTGTTCTTTACTTCCACTGTGTATTCATAAGGGATTTGGTTTAGATTATACCTGAGTGGCCCAGTGGTTTTTCCTACTCTCTTCAGTCTAAGCTTGAATTTTGCTATGAGAAGCTGATGATCAGAGCCGCAGTCAGCTCCAGGTCTTGTTTTTGCTGACTGTATAGAGCTTCTCCATCTTTGGCTGCAGAGAATATAATCAATCTGATTTCGATATTGCCCATCTGGTGATTTCCATGTGTAGAGTCGCCTCTTGTGTTGTTGGAAAAGAGTGTTTGTGATGACCAGCTTATTCTCTTGACAAAACTCTATTAGCCTTTGTCCTGCTTCGTTCTGAACTCCAAGGCCAAACTTCCCTGTTGTTCCTTTTATCTCTTGGCTCCCTACTTTAGCATTCCAGTCCCCTAGAATGAGAAGAACATCTTTCTTTGGTGTCAGTTCTAGAAGGTGTTGTAAATCTTCATAGAATTGTTCAATTTCAGTCTCCTCAGCAATGCTGGTTGGTGCATAAACTTGGATTATTGTGATGTTGAATGGTCTGCCTTGGATTCGTATTGACATCATTCTATCATTTTTGAGATTGTATCCCATTACAGCTTTTCCCACTCTTTTGTTGACTATGAGGGCTACTCCATTCCTTCTACGGGATTCTTGTCCACAATAGTAGATATGATAATCATCTGAGCTGAATTCGCCCATTCCTGTCCATTTTAGTTCACTGATGCCCAGGATGTCGATGTTTATTCTTGCCATCTCCTGTTTGACCACCTCCAGCTTCCCAATGTTCATAGATCTTACATTCCAGGTTCCTATGCAGTATTTTTCTTTGCAGCATTGGATTTTCCTTTCACTTCCAGGCACGTCCACAGCTGAGCGTCCTTTCGGCTTTGGCCCAACCACTTCATTAGCTCTGGAGCTACTTGTACTTGTCCTCCGCTCTTCCTCAGTAGCATGTTGGACGCCTTCCGACCTGAGGGGCCCATCTTCCAGCGTCATATCTTTTAGCCTTTTGTTTCTGATCATGGGGCGTTCTTGGCAAAGATACTGGAGTGGCTTGCCATTTCCTACTCCAGGTGGATTGCGTTTAGTCGGAACTCTCCACTATGTCCTGTCCGTCTTGGGTGTCCCTGCACGGCATAGCCCATAGTTTCTCTGAGTTACTCAAGCCCCTTCGCCACGACAAGGCAGCAATCCATGAAGAAGGTGCGAGATCCAGTGGTTGCAAATTCCTGAAATGAGCAGAGGGTTGGTCTAGATGACCTTTGATGCCCTCTTCCCCGCACAAATGTCTATTATATGTTTGCCCATTTCTCCAGCTTTCCTTGGTAAGGGAAAGGCTGCCAACCCATTTAACCTTTCGGAGCAGTTTTTAAAAAATCAGTGTGTTCTCCTGTATACAACAACCGCAACAAAACAAGTATGATGTTTTGTAGCACCTTAAAGACAAAGGGGTTTATTTCCACCTGAGCTATTGGGGAATTACGACCCACTTCTTTACATAGGGAGAAGTGGCTTGCAATCCACAAAAATTAATCTACAAAGTCATTTTTGCCGTTGTTGCTTTGTATTTGGGTTAGCCTTTTTTTTCCTTCACATTTCTTCCTTCACATTTCCTATCCTTTGGGAAAGGCCTGGGCCTACTGTTAGAGCGAGGCAACCTGCCTCAGGGGGTGGGTTTTGAATGTCACGCAAGGGCAAGAAATTATTAGCGATTTAATCTCTCATATAAAGCCCGTTAGCTGCTCCTCGCAGTCCGTGATGCCAAGATTTGTGATACCCACGGAAGTAAAAAAAAGTTGGCATCAGAAACCCAGCTTTCTCAGCTGTGGTCACTACCCTCTGGAATAAGTTTCCTACAAAATTTAAGTCTCTGGCTTCGGGACCAGAGGTTGGGAGTTTGATTCCCCCCACTGGACCTCCATGATAAGGGGCCAGACTTGATGATCCCCTAAGGTCCCTTTCAGCTCTGCAGTAACAGGAATATTATAAAGTTTTGACACGTGCCACTTCTCTCAGCGTTAAGGAAGTTAATTAAAATGGAACTGTATAAAGCTGCCATTACTGCCATTTAAATTAGTGACCTGAGATGTAAATTTTGTTTTACTCTAGTTTACTTGAATGCATGTTTTTATCAATTTGCCTTTTTTTTGGCTAGTGACAGGGTTTCTATGGAATTTATTATATAGTGTGGTTATTTCATTGAATGGGCTGTGAACTCCATGGGCTCTGTTCCACAGAGACGCCAAGGAAGTGACATTTTTAAAGTGTGCATTTGATAGCACACATTTGCTGCATCGCTTGAAATGCAAGGCTTCATCCCTTCTGTTTCCTTTGCTTTCCAAGGTTGTGCGGAGATCTTGCCTGTCGCTAAATCAGTAGAACAGAGGTACTGTGGGGATGATTTTGGTTCACTCCAGTGATTACATCTTGCGATCGCTGTCAAAAAGGACAAGCCAACCCATTTCATTGCACTCTGAGATTTCAAAGGAATGGTTTTACTATGGTAAATTTTAAAAAGATTTTAAAGGAATGGTTTTTCCAGCCCCTCGCATATTTTCCATGGCTGAGCAGGGATTCGAACCCAGGTCCCCCAAGTCCTAGCCTATCCATCTGTCTCCTACATCCCACCAGGCGCCAAACACGACCAACCCTTTTGGAACAACCAAGATTTTGTGAGCTCACCAGCCTTACCTGCTCCCTGACCGTTCCCTGTTTCATCGGAAAATCTTCAGCCCAGGCTATGGCCTGGATACAGCTCCCTGGGCCGCTCTCCCTGACCCAGTTCTCCATATCCATGTGGGGCGGGGGGTGAGAAGGGTTAGAAACTGTTCCAGGATCACCAGCTCACCAGGATCACAATCCTTCGTGTGCTTCTCCAGCTTCAGCCACTGACAGCAACCATCCCAGAGTCGGCTGTAAACCTTGTGGGGCCCTTCAGCCTCTGTCTAGCAGAATCGCCTGAAGTGCTAGCATTCGGGGGTATGAATCTATAATGTCCTTGTTCATAATCTTTGGTATAGTTCTCCCCTTGAATGCCCTGCAGGCTGGAATACTTTCTCCCAATGTTTCTACTGCTTCGCAGCCAGCTAGATTTCAATCTTCTGTTTTCTTTCCTACAACTTTCTCCGAACTGAAATCTGGGCCCAAAATACCTTGTTTTCCTCTCTTTGCAATGTTCTCTCAGGCTAAGAACAGCGTGCTACATATATAGTAGGGCCCCTGTACCTATCTGCAGGGGACCAGTTCCAAGCCCACTTTCCCGTGGATACTGAAAAAATATGGATGATAGTGACCACTTAAATGGTATACAAAGCATGGTCTCTGGATCCCGAGAGTGGTCAGTTCTGGTTACTTCACCTTTAACAAAATATGTTTCTAGGCTTTGTCTTGTAACAATAAAAATATTTAATTGTCTTGTAACAATTAAAATATTTTCAGACCGCGGATAAGTGAATCAGCGTATACTGATCCCGCAGATACAGCGGTCCTCCTGCATGTCCCACAAAATTAACGACTCCTGCTTTGAGCCACTGCAGTCCATGATTACAGCCTCCAAAGAAGCAGATACTTAAGAATAAGATCAAACATATACTGTTGCTCAGGAGGTGCTTCCTAAAGGGGGGAAAAAATCAAAAAGTTAGTTGCAACTTAGAATCTGAAGGGCATGGGGAAGGGACAAGGAGAGATATACTGAAAACCCAGACCTTTATGTGAGGCGTAAAACACAGCACCCCGTCCAAAGATGGCCCTACCATCAGGCAGCAGTCCTCTAGAAGCCATTCTTGGTTCTGATTCAGCAAACCCAAAACCGAGGATGCAAAAAACGGACTCTGAAGAACCTTCAGATGAGCAGGAAGTACAGAAAAATGCTTGTAATGGCTCTGATCCCAAAGGCGAAGTGCTCGAAAACGTCAAGAAATTTAAATATGGCACTGCCAACCGGCGGATGAGCAAAATGGTCTTTTTAGGACCCACAAATGAGAATACTTTCTAACAGTTTATTTAAAATAGTTTAACTTTGCCTTTCTCATTAGAAAGGTGGCTTATATACATATAAAAAAGACAATAGTTAAAAGCTAAAAACAATCCATAGACAAATATTGAAAAAGACTCAAGCAAATGCCCTGCCAAAACAGTAAATAAAATCAACACCAAAAAAAAAAAACATTGAAAGCAACAAGGCATAACAATCCATTAAAAAACAATAACAACAATTCAGGCAGCTAGTCATTAAGGGAAATTTTGCCTGAAGAGCAAGGTCTTTGCCTGTTTGTGGAAGGAGAGCAAAGATAGGGCCAGGCTGGCTTCCAGTGGGAGGGAGTTCCAAAGTCTCTGGGAGCAGCCACTGAAAAGAACATGTTCATTTGTGTGTGCTTTTTAAAAAAAATGTAGCTATATTTTGTATGTGCTTGCTGTCAAGTTGGAACCAACGTATAGTGACCCTAATACCGCTTTCAAGATAGGTGAGAAACAATATTTTAAAAAGTGTTTTTTTTATCAGTTCCACTCCCCCAGTGAGCTTCTATGGCCGAGCAAGGATTCGAACCCTGTTCTCCAGAGTCCTAGTCCATCACTCTATCCACCACAACCACCCTGGGGAATCCAAGATCGTATATGTCACATGTGTCCCTGATTTTA